ATCCAAAGCCTTGACCCTATGCTTAATATCATCTCTTAGACCACTAATAAAAAGTGATACAAATAACTCCTCAGTTAAAGTAGGATTCTGTAACAACATATAGGGTTGTAACTCCTTAAATTTTTCCTGATAATCTTCCACTGACCCCTTTTGAGTCAATTTAGTGAACTCTTCCACAATATCACATAAAGATCTATCACTGAATCTATGATATATATCAGCTTCAAATTCATGCCATGTTACATGATTCTTTTGCATTATATATCCATCAAACCATATTTCTGCTTTGTCTGTCAAATACATAGTAGCTACCTCTACTCTTTGCTCAACAGGAACACTACAAATAGAGAAATATTTCAAGCATTTTTGAATCCATCCCCTAGGATTGACCACATCAAAAAATGGCAGTTCTATCTTAGTTCTGTGCCACATAGTTCCTAAACTGTTAAGTGAACCTCCTGGCCCCCTTTTGCAGCTTCCAGTCCAAACAGATTAGGTCTAGAGTCACTGTTTTCACCCACTTTATTTTCAGACCTAGAACTGTTCTTAAGAGCTAAACAAGTATCAGGTTTAGTCTTTAATATCCCAGGTTCATCCGGTTTATAGGTAAATCTAGACTTGTCATTCACCACCGTAACCAAAATAATATTTTTGTCCTTATTTTTAGAAGTATCAGGAGATTGTACATGTTCATCAGTAGAATGCTCCTGCTCCCCATCCCTGCCTGTCAGAACCTTTAATAGTTTCTCCATATAACCCTGATTAGTTACCATTCTGGACTCCAATGCAGTGATCCTATTCTCTTGAGTCTCCCACCATTTAGGTGGATTAGTTTCATCTTGCCCCTTCTTCACTAATGTAGCTAAGTCTTCAATCTGTTTTTGGATCCCAGATAAATCAGTTTCTGCCATAGTCTGGTTCTTCTTTGTCATACCCACCAGAAATTTTTGCCAGAATCGAAGCTCTGAATACCAATTGTTATAGTTGAGAGAAAAAGAAAGGATTTAGGAGAAGAATTTAGACGAGAAAGAGAGTTGATAGAGAAGAAAATTCATCATTCATTGCATAAGGATCTTTTTACACCTGAGTCTGTTAATTATTTAATTACAAATGCCATTCAGTCATTGCCAGCTGTCCCAGCTATGTAACTAACTGATTCTTCTCTTCCTTTTCTTTCACAGGTATTGGGCCTTCTGTCTAGGGCTTCTCCTTCAGTCATTCCTCGTGCTCGGCCTGCTCTGTAAGTACCCCGTGCCTCTCACATGATTGAATTCCCAATTTCTTTCTTTAATCCCTAACCCCCGATCATCATTTCCCAAATGTTCTTCGATATTTTCTCGCCGTTCCTCTTCTTCTTCTCCAATCCTGACACATTCATCACTCAACTATCTTCTTATTCATATTTTGGTCACTAAAGTTCAAAAATTTTCAATTTAACTACTCAACTTTCAAATTGCTCATGTTTTAACCACTCTATTTTATTTTATTATTAATTTTATGATATGAAATTTTTATTATTATTTTAAATAAAAATAAATTTGAAAGTTGGAGTGATTAAATTAGAAGTAATTTGAAGTTAAGTAATTAAATTAAAAAAATAAAATTCAGTGACCAAAATATGAGTGAGAAGATATTTGAGTGATGAATGATGTAACTTATCCATAAAAAAGTGCTAAATACAACAGTTCAATTAAGTTTTTAATGGAGATGTACCAAAATGAAACAAAAATTGAAAAAAAAAACAAAAATTTAGATACCAAAATAGGATAAAAGTAATAGTTTAGGTACTAAATGTGTATTTTATCCTATAAATAATTACAATATTGTACAAACATATTGGGTAAAGTACACAATTATCCCCGATTATATGGTATTTCTTTATTGAGTTTCTCAACTATTAAAAGTTACAAAATAGTCCTCCGACTATATGACGCTACTTTGTTGAGTCCCTCGACTATTAAAAGTTACGAAATGATCATCCGAATATTCATATGTTTCAAGCTCATCCTTTTATGTTAAAAATTTAACACTTGTTTGAGTTGAATGTTAACTTACTAACTAGGACTTGATAAAATCTAATCCCAGAATCTTAAATGCCTATACAATTTAAACGATTTTGAGATTAAATTTTATCATATCTCAGTCGATAGATTAATGTCCAACTCATACAACTATCATTTTTAATGAAAAATGATGAGTTTGGAACATATGAATAGTCGAGTGATCATTTATAACTTTTAATAGTAGAGAGACTTAACAAAATAGTATCCTACAATCGATGGACTATTTTATAACTTTGAATAGACGAGAGAATAAAAAATAGAGTCAAACAGTCGAAGGAACATTTTGTACTTTATCAAAAAATATTTTGGAATAATTCCTTTTAAACAAAGGAAAAATAATATGAAATGGAATTAAATAATAGAGGGATGAAAAATACTTGGATTCGTTAAAGATAAGCCCGTAAGAACTTACACTACAACTGAAAAAGGCCAAACAATCCATATACAAACCCTAGTTTCACAATTAGAAAACCCTAGCCGCTTCATCCTCTTTCATTCCCACTGTCCACTGAACTCAAGCCAGCCACTAAGTAGAGCCGTCAACATATCCAAACAATGGGCCGTGTCCGTACGAAAACAGTGAAGAAATCTTCCCGTCAGGTGATCGAGCGATACTACTCTCGCATGACCCTCGATTTCCACACCAACAAGAAGATCATCGAAGAGGTCGCCATCATCCCATCCAAGAGGCTCCGCAACAAGATCGCCGGCTTCTCCACCCATTTGATGAAACGGATCCAGAGGGGTCCCGTTCGCGGCATTTCCCTTAAGCTCCAAGAGGAAGAGCGTGAGCGTCGCATGGATTTCGTCCCCGATGAATCCGCCATCAAGGTCGACCAAATCGAAGTCGATAAGGAAACGCTCGATATGCTTTCGGTTCTTGGGATGGCTGATATCCCCGGTCTTGTTAAGGTTGACCCGGTTGCTGTTGTTCCTCAAATCGGGTTCGGCCGCGGTGGTGGACCCGGGAGGAGGTTTTAGGTGGTGAGTGTTCATCTATTTTGATGGGTTCTTGATTTCAAGTATTTTTTTTCCGGAACAATGTTAGTAATGTTATAAGGGTATTGGAATTTATTAAGTTGGATATGCACTTTTATTTCTGAAGGTGTTTGGAATGAGGAACTTTCAGTTTTTTGAATGATCAATTCCCATTTAATTTTTGAATTCAAAATTCTATATACTGAGGTATTGTTTAGCTGTTGGTTGATTGAATTGGTTAATTTTAGATTAAGGCACCATTTGGCATTCCACTTCTTGGATTTCATTCAATTATGAGGTGAATAGAGTTAAAGAATCCCGATTATGGTTATTTCCTCTCAAACATAAGGTTATTTCATCAATGGCAATTGCAAGCAAGAACTAGAATATTGTATGGTTCCATTTCAAACCCCACTTGCAAAAACCTTGGGTACATCTTTTTCTTCATGGTTGGGTTTCAATGTTTACAGGATTAGGTTTCCTACTGCAGCTTGCAGAATTTTTTTCTTAGATTCTTACTCAGAAAATTTTGGGACTGCAATTTGTCCATAAAAGTCTTTGATGATAAGCCTATGGTGTATATTTACTCCACACAGCCTGAGCAAGCTTAAAAAAATAGTATGATCAGCAAAATTTTGGTTGAAAACAAACCCTTAGTAGAACATCTGATTGATTCCTTACTTACTGAATCTGGAGTTCTTCGATTCTTGATTCCCCTTGGTGATGTTGGTTTTGATTCGATTTTTTTGTAAGATTTTCTGGTGATTGCATTCTTCATCTTGCAATTGATTGCTTGGGTTTTGATTCAACACCTAATAGTTATGAGATTTCTTATGTGGTTTAGTGTCGGTATCTCTACGCATCATGATGGCATTGGTTACAGACTTACAGTATGTGTCACTGTGTTCATCCTCCTTAATTCACTTCATTGTCCTTGAATTGTAGGTATGTTCTACTAAAGCATTTAGTTCCTCATTTACTGTTTAATTTCCTCTCTTCAATTACTTGTTTAGCCACTAGTTCTCTCCTGGGTTATTTCAGACTGTTATTTGGACTCATATGCAAGTATGGGATCATGTATCTGTCCGATGTGCGTATGCGTCCAATACAGTTATTATGGTCAGGTGTTTTAAAGATTTTATATGTATTTTGAAAATATTTGGGTTTCATATTCTCATATCCATGGGTCGAATGTTAATCGAAGATGGCTACTAGAAGAAAAAAAAGTCAGCGCAAAATAGATATACAATAGTATGTATCCGTGCTTGAATGTTTGATGACCTTTGTATCATTTTTCTTGAACGTAAGGTCCCCAAATGACTGTTAAGGTTGTGTTTTTAAGAATCCGTATTACAATAAAACTTTTTTAGTAAAACGTTTATAGCACACATTTCCCAAGCTTTACATAGTTTGCCAAGTGTACCCATAATCGCATTGAAATTAAACAATCTATCATACGCTTAACGAGTCTGTTTTTTCATCATAAAGGACAGGTTGATATTATGTAATCGTACAACACGGACTAGAAATGCCCTGCCCCGCCCCTATGAAGCAGAGTTTGGATTGCATAAGAAGACTGGGTAAAAGTTGCCATTGGAAAGAATAGTGGATCGAAAAGATTATCAGTGGGGCAGTTGTTTTGGAACCCATTTGAATCCCCAAGGGTTTATCTATAATTCAAACTAAAAGCTATTGGCGCCATAGGATCATTAATGAGCTAAATGGGCTGCTTACTATCTGTGGAATTTCAATGGTATACAGTGTAGCCCATTAGAGGCGGCCTGGCTTATAAAGGGGTCACTCTTACATTTATACGGAACGTAGCCGTCCTTTTTGCAATTCCCCAGAAAATCATTTATTCATGTCAAAACCAAAAAGGGCAAAGTCGTAAACTTCATTAAATCTCAGCGGGAAGAAGAGCCGTTGCTCATCATCCTACCCTAATTTGGCGCCAAAATAAAAAAGATCCCCCTTGGGCTGCCCGTAAATATCCGGGCATTAACCCCTTATATTTCTCTTCCCCTTTAAGAAATCAAAAGCTTAGCCATAATAAACATCTCTTTCTCATTTCCCCTCAAATTCAAAACTCTCCCTCCCCCTCTTTCCCAAAGTCATTCTTTTTGATAAAAAAAAGCTCATTTTCTGCCTGATTTTACTCAAACAAAAACACATTTCCCCCTGCTTTGCACTCTTTGTATTACTCTGTCTTAACCCATTTTCATCCAAAACCAACCATTTCCAAGCTTGTGTTCTCTTTTTTCCCCATCAAAATCCCTGCTTTTAATAAAAATGGGGTTCTCCAAAAAACCACAACTCGATGGAGCATTGGACTCCGAAGGGAAGAAATGGGTCATCACCTTAAGGACTTCATTGAAGCCGATAAACACGAAGCTGCCCAGAGCAAAAGAAAGCGAAGACAATGATGAAGAAGAGTCCACAACTCCAACTTCAAAAGAAGCAAAGATACCGGAGAAATTACGATGCCCTTTAGCCCCAAGGAAGCGTAGGTCCACACTTAGATGCCATTATAATGGAGTTAGGGAGTTCTTTAGTCCTCCTGATTTGGAATCAGTATTCAAGCTCCATGCTGTTGAGAAAGCAAACTGAGTTTGAAAACATGAAAACTATTCCCCTTTTTTATTAGACCTGAAACAAGTTTGAGGTTTTCTTAGGTTAGCCAACATAGTAGGAGAAGAGCTCAAGGTGTATAAAAGGCTTTGTATGACATGACTAGACTAGTTTTGATTTAGTTTAATTTTAGCTCCAAGTTTTATTGACCACCATATAATATTATAATGTTTCTTGCTTTAGCTAATAGTAGAACCTACTACTTCATATTGTTATGGAATGGAATATTGAATGGTTTGGATTAATGCTACTTGTTTGAAATGCTTCAAGACTTTGGGATTGTTGGGTGATATTCAAATGAACAACCTTTATTTTCATTTTATTGGTTCTTGTTCATATAATCTTGAAGGTTTGAATTTGCTTTTTGTTTGTAAGAGTATAATATCATACTATCACATCAACACATCTTACATACTCTTCTAGTGTTCTAATTTGTATAGAAAAGAATATATTTCTTTTTGTTGCTTCGAATTCATTCATAATTTTAGGGTAATAATTTGTCCATGTTTTTATTAGGATAGGAGGATTACGTATGTAAAGGTATTATAGTAATTATTTTTAAATATATGTAAGAGAATTATAGTATAATTTTTTTATTGAGTTGGATTTCAAGTTTTTTTTTAAAAATATTTAAATTTTAAATTTGACCTCGACTCTCCATAAAAATGTTATAAGTTTAATTCTTTTTAAATAAATTAACACCATAAAATCAAATTAAAAAGCATCAAATTTAGATAATTTAAATCTCTATATCGTACATATTTTCATTAAAAAAAATAAATTGTCAAAAGAATCTTTATTTAATCAAAACTTTGCACTTATTCCAAATTTCTTTCAACTTTTTCTCTTTTTATGACTCTACAAAAAACTACACACACGTGGAGATCGTATACTCATACACAAAGTCTCAAAGCTGTCCCAACAAAAAAATTGTAAAGCAAAATCTTTTACTTGACTTTTATGTATTCATACTATCTTTATATCATATTATTAAAAATAATAATTCAAATATAATAAAATCTACTTGATTTAATCAATTTAATGTGATAAATATATTAAAATTTATATAAATATATAATACTTTGAATACAATTATTGTATATAAAATATTAAAATAATCCAAGGTCTAGCAATGGTAAACCCCAAGTTGGTGCCAAGTGCTTATGCTTTATCTGATTATGAAAAAAGGACAAAGTGATATTGAGTGGTAGGTTAGAATCCAATGTGGGGTTTTGACAACAAGAAATTATATTCTTTTTTATAAAAGAACTTTGATTTTGGATGTAGTATGATCAAGTACCATTCGCACTTTTATCATGTCGGTCTATGAAATAATTGATAACATTGTTAAAAAGGATAGTCATAATTTTCAATCGATTAATATATTTTAATGATAAAACTATAAATCAGACACTTTGATGATATATATATATTAGAGATAGTTAAATAATATCAAAATCATTTTCTAATAAGTGAATTTTTAAATATTATTAAATAATTTTTAAAATTTTCAAATGATTTTGCTATATATTATAAGAGTTTGAGAAATTTAATAATTATTTTATAATATTTAAAATTTTAATAATTAAATAGATATTCTGATATAATTCAGTTATTTATAATGTATTTTATACAAAAAGAAAGAGGAATAATACATAATATATACAGGGATAGTATTAGGGATGGGCATGGGACTCGAACCCGATTGTGTCGGGTTTTTTTAAAAAAAATCGGGTTCAGGTCGGGTCGGATTCAAGTTTAGGGTGAAAAATACCCAACCCGAAAAAATAATTTTACCTTATATATTTAAGAATAATTACAATAATACCCCTATATATATATTATTTTTTTCAATTAAATCATTGTTTTTATTAAATAAAAATAATATTTTTTATTATTTCGGGTCGGGTTCGGATTTTATCTCAAAAAATCGGGTCGGGTGAAGGGTATATATTTTTCGGGTCGGGTGAAGGATGTAAAATTTTCGGGTTGGGTCGGGTTGGCCCCGACCCATGCCCATCCCTAGATAGTATCCACTTACATAATAAATAAATAAAATTACATTTATTTTAGATGAATATAAATTGATGGTTGAGATTATTTAATTCTCTCTTTTTTTTTTCATAAAATTCATTATAAAACTAAAAATATAATACATAACTGGATCATACTTTGTATATTGTGTGCCAATAAATTAATAAAGTATTTGTCTCCATTAATGGAGATTGTCAAAGGTCAGAAACATCTTTAAATCAACAGACTTCAGAGTCTTAACTTTGTTGATTATAGCGGTAAGCTTTGTGTTTTTCCATTTTTTATATCGAAGTTAAAAACCATGGAATCCAATGCTGGGCTTGAAGAGGCTCATGCAAAATAACATTAAATACTTCAAACTTTGAAATTTATATGTAAAAATATAAATTTAAATATAGTTAAATATATAGTATTTCTTACCAGTAATTTATAGAACACGTCATTAAAGTGTTTCGAATTAAGGACGGCACCATGGATAGATAGGGCTTTAGTCCTTTATGGCTAGCATATCTTTAAAATTAGGGTTTTATTCAAAGCTGAGGTGTAGATAGTGGATAAGATTCCCGTACATCTCTATAATTAAAAATTGTAAGAAAAATTAATAAAATGACACAACCGCTTACATGTAAAAAAATCAACGGTTGATAAAATAATTTTATCATAAGGTTTTGCATGATCAAAGGATTTGTTTAAAAGATAATATATAATAGGATAGAGGAGATTGGGAGTTTAACCTTTTCATCTTAAGGTTAGGGACTAGCTTCCTTTATGACAGCATTTTTTAGCATAAAAAAACAATTTTAGTGTCTTAAATAGATATCCTATGAACTTAGGTTGCTTGTATTAGGTTTCATTTATTGAAATCAATTTTGGTTTTCTCTTTGTCCTTGCATTGCATGCAACCAATCAATATATATAATTTTATTGTAAGAATTTGTGATTTAAATTTTATTTGATTCGATTTTGAAAAAGTACATAGTACGATATTTTTAGTGAAAAATAAATTAAATGAAAAATAAAAGATTCATTATAGATACAAAGGCTCACGGATTAATATATCCAATGATCGCGGTCCACCACTTATCGTTTGACCCTAACGGTAGGGGTGAACGTTCGATCGAGTCAAGTAAAAAAATTTCAAGTTATTCGGGTTGACGAGTCATATTTTATAACTTGGATTTGATTTGAATTTTTTTTTGTCGAGTCGGTTTTATAAAATTCGAGTCGAGTCAAATTTTCGAGTTTCTATTTAAATTTAATTATAAATATTTATAATATTACGGAATTATTTAATTTTAATTTAAATAATATTTTATAATCATATATAAATTTATTTGTATTTTTTCATATGTGATTTATATATAACATATAAAGTACAGTGACTCAACTCAAACTTTGACTTAAACTAGAAAATCAATCTATTAATTACTAAAAATTTCGAGTTATTTGAGTTGTATTTTACAACTCGATTTGAATTTGATTTTTTTTAGTCGAGTTTATGAAATTACAATTCGAACTCAATTCGAGTCGAGATTTTTTGAATCAAATCGAGTAAAAAATCGATTTTTCGATTCAAATCGAGTTTTGCTCACCCCTACCTAACGGGACTAGTGCCGGTACGGAATCTCCTTGGTATAATACAATTTATACAACTATATATATAACTAAAATTCTAGAGTTTAATATAGTCTCTTATACGGTAGTCTTATACTTTTTCGTCGATTATAGTTTATATATTTCACGTCAAATCTTGAAGGTAACTGTAGAATCAATGGACTTTGAGCTGCGTCCTTTGACAATCCAAAATCAAAAAGGAAAAAAGAATTAATTCTCGAAAAAAGGGTTTCATCATGCAAACCCTAAACCAATAAAGGATATTATTTGACCTAACTGCTCTTGTCTCATGGTGTTAATCTTAAATGGACCTTTATGTATTATATATATTACTTTTACACAAATCCATTATAGTGTCTATGGTTATGATTATCGTATTTCTCTATTTAAGTAGGTATGTGTCGAGTTTTAAAACATTTTATTATTTAAGTAGCATGTTCTCTCTCTCTCCCTCTTTTAGGGTTAGATTTGAGACATAATACCGAAAATATCCTCAAATATTTATTAAGTTTTGGTCTTTATTCTTTTTTTTTGGAGTTTTGGCTCCCAACTTTTTATTTTGGGACAAAAAGCTCTCTTTACAGGTGAAAACAATTAGTTAACATACAATTAACACTTTAAAATAGAGACATTTTTTAAGCTAAAATGAATTGTTTAAGGCTAAAATGCCAAAAAAAAGGATAAAATGATTATTCTTTCAAATGTTAGTGGTTTTTTCCCCTAAAATAGAACGTTGTGTGAACAAAATGCTCCAAAAATAGAATAAGGGAAAAATGACCATTTTGATAAACGTTGGAGGGCTAATTTTGGCATGCCTATCTAGTTTATGTTTATTTGTTTATTTTGTTAATCTATCTTGGTTTGAACTCTCGAATTGATTCTCTCATATTAATAGATGCTCTAATCATCGTAGATAAGTTACATCTAGGCTTTGATAAAATCAATTATCAACACACTTCAATCGTTATGTTTATTTTTCATGTTAGTGTTGACAATGTTTAATTTTCACCTTTAATATCAGTGTTTGTTCATATCTTCTAATTTCTTAAGTTGTTTGGCTAAATTTTTAGCTATTTCTTTATATTTTTTAATTTTAATTATTTAATTGTTAGTTTATGTTCTTTGATGATTTGAAGGAGATGATGGGCGGATGTGATTAATCGATTTCAATTTTTTTAACCTTTTAAGACTGTAATCTTATTATATTTCCTATTTAGTTACCCAATAGAAGTATTATCTTTACTAATTAAAATAAAAATAAATATTGAATACAAACTAAACCTTAAAAAATATTTGAATATAATAATAAATCAATATTCAATAATTATTTTTGATGAATTCCACGCAGTTAAAACAATATTTTTTTAACCTAAAAACAATAGCTTTTTCAATATGATAATTTTTGCATTCAAACTTAAAAAATAGGAGTAATTTTAACCT